CCATATTATAACATCAGCTGAGATAAATAATAAAATAAAATATTAAAATCACGATGTATCTCGCTGCATTGCGCGAGTACGCTTCTAGTTTTTTATAAGGATAATAATTTAGTTAACTATTAGAACTCAATGATTATCTTAATTGTATTTTAGATTTTTTATATATAAAATAAAATATTTATCTTGTATTTGACTATGTTTATCTGAAGTTAGTTACACGAATTCAATTATGAAATTTTAATAAATTGCACAGTTTATTTGTAATCTTGAATTTTAAGTAATATGCATCAATAAACAATACTTCATACATCAAAAAGTTGTTTTTTAAGAGTTTTTGCCAAATGTTTTATAATATAGTATAGATATACAGAGGTTCAAAAAAAACCCTCAAAGAAAATAAAAAACTAAAGAACATTATGATAATCATTCATCCGAACAATATGTAGATGTACATACAAGTAATTGAAACTGTCTTTTGGTTTTTTGCATGTATGCATATTATACATATGTGCATATCGAACAAATTGCTTTTAAATTACTTGTATACATATGGTAATCAGGGTGTTCCTCAATTTTTTATTTTTTATGGTTTCCCAATTCCCATGAATCTAACCTTTTATTTATTTATGCATATAACTATTTTTATTTTCAATCATCTAAAAAATACATATTTTTATCATTCGTGTTAAACAATTTCACTAATCACCTTCATTTTTATCGGTTTATTTTATTGATTATTTTAATATAAATATGTTTTTTGGTCATAATTTGTTACGAATAAAAAATTATTTGGTAACAAAAATTTTAATATAAACCTGTTTTTATTTTTGGCGGACCTACCATGGTGGTTACGGTTTCACGTGCTACCGTATTATTTCTCCGTCGAAGGGTAAAAAAAATTTAGGTTCGTGAAAGGTGCAACCGTATTAATCTGTTGTGTGCTACCGTATGTATTTTGAAACTAAAATGAGAACATGTTTTATTTGATAGAGTTGGTTTGCAAGGCTTTTATTCGACTCTAGACCCAAATTCAAATCTTGTTAGTGTCATTTTCTTAGTCAAATAGTGCCATCGATTGAAAAAAAAAAATTCGTATATTTGTTTCTTATAGTCAACCGGTGCCAATGTTTGAAAAAAATTTCCTATATTTTTTTCTTATAGTCAAATGGTGCCACCGTTTGAAAAAAATTATGAGTCCGTCCTTGACGCTTACCTACACTAGCATATGTTGGTGTTTTGAACAATATTTTAGAACAAATTAAAAATTCATATACACACACACACTCACACTTGTATGTCTTGATTCTCTACTCACTACTTTTTTCAATTTCAAAGACCTCGTGTTTGACGTTTCGTGTACGGGGAATATGAGTAAGTATTTACGTATTTAAGGTTTTAGTTTCTAAGCTTCCTTTTTATGTTTATTTAATAATATTATACAATTAAAAAATGACTGATCAAAACCTGGTCCATGCATGAAGGATTGATGATCATGGCCCTGTTTTCAGCTTCATGACCAGTTAAGGATCGATATTTGCTCTTTGATGATTAAACTGGACTTTCTAGGATCGGACCCAAGGACGGGTCTAGACCAATTATTATGCATCTCTGTGTATGGATATCTAAACAAACAATTTCATTAGGAAACATCCTTCCAACAACTTATTTGGCAACATTTAGAATATATCAAAAAAGTAATCAGTCATATATTGTGAATTACGATATCTAATACCTACTTTCCTTCATAGACATAAGAAGTTAAACCTTTGGATAGGATGTCAAGTTTCGCCTACGTTGCATATTCACAATACGACAATGTTCAAGTGTTGTGTAACTGTGGCCTCCTTCGATTGTTTTCAAGATATGGGTCTGCCCCATGGGAAAAACCAATGAAAAGCCAGGGTAAAGCTTCAAAACACCAGTCACTCACTCTTCGGTTCAAGGAGTGGTAACTGGTAAGTCACATATCAAATAAGGAGCAGACTGTGAACCAACAAGAAATCAAAAAATTATTTGTTTGTTTGATTAAATGTTCCATTCATAGGTACATTGTATAAGATACCCCGGTAAAGAAAAATGTTAGCTATACACAAGAATCTCTTGATCGAGGTCTGCAAGCTGCAAACTACCTTATAAATAACAAACACATGTCTTTGCTAATAGAGGTGAAAGATCACGCTGAACATCAAGAAAATCATTTTTATCTATTTTTCTTATATGTCGTAGTACCTGCCCCTCACTTGAGTGAAGTTCCGCAGTCGTCTAGAAAGTGCCCGGATATTGTACTTTTGGTCAACCCAATCCGAATGGGAAGAAGGTGGTCTAGTTAACTTCCTCTCTTGCCTTTTGAATTAAAGCGAGCTTTCCCACTAAGTCCAACGCAAGGACCCTTTTTATTTTATTGACGATATGTTCCGTCGTCAACAAACGATAACTCTTAATTGATATGAATTCTTATAATTTTTATTGTGGTTCACAAGTTTTCTGGGTTCTCAGATAGCAAACTGAACTCTCCATTCGGTCATATCCACAAGTGTGCATATCCGTGAAATTTTGTACTTTAAAGTTTTTTGTAAACCGAAAGTAACTCGTATAATTTACTTCAATACTTACATGTTTGCATTTTAGCTGAAAGAAGAAAAGTTTTATTTTATGTTCCAATTTTTTTATTTGTCAAAATTTTCTTATATTTCACGACTGCAAAAAACAAGTTTGCATTCATGTTTACAGTGTTTTGTTTTGCATCTTCTTGTGTGATAAAATTACAGTTTTGTTTTATTTTATTTTAATTTTGGACGACTGAATTAAGCATCTATCAAATAACTTTATGGTAGAAGCTTGCCTTGGTTCCAATTTTCGGCTAATCTTCCTTTCTAACCTCCTCGCTTTCCTTTCGTTCTTTTTCTGTTTCTCCAATTTCTACGTATTTTATTACTCGCACTTTTCACAAAATTAGAAGGTCAAATCTGCATACATCTCATCCAAGACTCCACCAAGAGAGAGAGATTTGGTTCGTTTGATTTTAACTTGTCAAAATATTGAGTAGAGCCAATCATGTCAGATATTACATATATGAATATAAGTCAGATCACAACCCCCCCCCCTCTCTCGGGATAGCCTCAACAGCTAAAATGCCCCCTTCGTTGGTGCCCTTAGAGATAGGTTTTGTGTCAGGTCGATTAGGGTTGCTGGTAATCAACTTTTTACCCAAATGTATAATAGTAACACTAAAATATGATAAAAATGATAACATGACATTGTTTATAATTCTTTGATGATATTAGATAATAGAGTAAATTACGAATTAGGTCCATATGGTTTGAGTTCATCATAGAATTAGTCCCTCAACTTCGTTTATTACAAAAAAAATGGTTAAAGTTTGCATTTTGTTTTGAAATTGGTCTCTCATCCTAACGTCCGTCCATCATGTTCCCGTTAGATCCCAGAGCAAACTTGTCATCTAACCATTTCCTTATGTTTTTACGTTTTATTTAGTAAAAACATTTTTCTCCACCACTTAAGGTTGTTTGCTAGAGATCGACAAACGTAACCCGTTATGCTAGAGGCTCAATCTCTAAATGTACGGAAAATACAAGTGTATTTTATAGTAAAAGATATGAATCTTTAAATAAATAAAAAATAGGACGGGTTAAGGCACCGGTTGGATGAGGTCCTACCAACATAGACTCTCGCCGAATACCATGTTACTTCTTCAAAATCCTTCAAGCCCCGAATTTTGGCCATCTCTAATCGTTCGTTGTTTGTGATCTAACCCTCTAAACCACAAACCAAATTGTAAGAGCAATTTGAGAATTTTTCAACCATTCAGTTTGGATGAAGTGACCAGATGGGTCAAACAAAATCACCAAATGGCGGTCTGGCCCAACCGACTTAGGTGGTTTGGGATTACAATGGTCCATGAGATTATGAGATAATAATCTGTATAATAGTAATTTATTAAAAACACACATGGTTCAAAATGGGAATGATAATGAACAATGGTATTTAATTTTATGAACGATTACTTCGGGGTTGTTTGTTTACCTCTTAATAGTTCCATTAAGAGGCAACCTCTGAATCATTAAAAGATGAATCTTGTTTGGTAAAAAAAAATGTCTCTTAATGGTCCTAAAACCCTTCGAATGATTTTGTATCATGGGTCTCCCTTAACCATTAAGAGCCTTAATTTCACCGTAAACAATTACCAAACAATTATACTTCCTTTTGCATTATATCACGAGAGCCTCTTAATCATTCAGTAACTACCAAACAACCCCTTAATAAATTAGGGGGTACTTTTTTCATTCCCTAACATTATCATTCCTCATTATACACATTCCCATTCTCTTAAAACAAACCAAGCACCCCCTAAAACGATATGATGAACCCTCTAATCGAGCACTTACTCATATCGAAAAGATAACAAAGACGTGGGCCCCACATGGTCCCACGGTACTATAATCAAACAAGAAAATGTTTCCTTTTCAGCAAATTGGCACAACTGTACATTTGGACATTGAAATAAATGTTTTTCCAATGAAGGGGAAGTTTTGTAGTTGGTTTAGGTACAAACAACAATTACAAACACGGAAAGGTGATTAGCATTTAGCAGCATATTTATATATTATATATAATATATGCATTTGGTGTTGTGAGGCTTGGATGCATATTTTAACAAGAAATGATACCCCTCTCAAATATTATGAGATGTATGCTTTGGTGACTTCAGTATAGTTGTAAACCAAACCTGTTCTTGGGCAAGTGATTTTGCCATTATTGTTAGTTGCCATTTCTTCAAGAGCCTGCAAAACAATCAATAACCAAATGATATGCTATAATCAGAATGTTAACAAAACTGGTCAAATTGCCAAAAACTACTAAATGCATTTTATACCAACTCTCAAAAGCAAGGGTCTATTTTCCAATTCTACCCTTAATCATGAAACAAATAAATTTATTACTCCCTCTACGTAAATTTGTCATTTAGTTAACTAAAAAGTGTAATAACTACACATTTCTAACCTTGGTGCTGTAAACATAGCCATTTGGTAAGACAAGTGGTGGGTTCTCTGTATCCATTAGCTCTTTCGTTATATAGCAGACAAGTTTTGAATGATGCTGCTTTGAGAAGGGCAATGGCATTGCAAGTTTACGGAAGCTTTCTTGAGACAGAGGATCCTCTTTTGTACAATCATCCTCATAACAGAATCTAAAGGCGATCAAGGCAAAAACTAGAGATACAAGTTTTGAGCAAAAAGCCACACTTATAATATAAAGATGCAGTATGGAATTACCCAAGAGAACGATGAGATAATATGTATATAGATCAGTAAGATATCTCCCATGAGATAATATGTATATATATACATAGTTGTTTGCATTTTACCATTTGATTGAATGGTGCTACCTTTTACGTTCAAATGGTAAAAACCAATGCACTCATAGGATTCTTAACCATCTTTGATAAGCCAAACCAACCTAGTATATCCCACCCTGAGCTAGGGATGGGTGGGATGTAAGCAGGCTTGACCTCTACCTCAAAGAGTAGAGCAGGTGTTTACGTTAAGACCCACAACTTGTACAAAGTGTGCGAAAAGGAAGGATAAAAACTTGCTCAAAAAATTTGCTGAGAAAGAACACAAGAAGAACTTGAAAAATAAGAAAGGTAGTGCTAAAATGTGAAAACATGTTGGGAGTAAACAACACACGAACAGACAAGCAACAACAAACAAAACATACCAACAGAAGCAGGTACAAGAAAACATAATAGTAGTGATTGCACCAAATATGATCTAATAACAATGTAAACAAACCAAAAAGCTTTTGACAGCAATGCAAGTGTGTGATTTACACACATTAGGATACGGAGTTTTCAGAGCCGACAAACCCGCTTGGAGATAAATATTCAACAAAGGCTCCAGAGTCATGCCGTATAACCTACAAAACTCCTGTTTGAATTGATCCATTAAGTAATCCCATTGCTTTGGTTCAAATAAAACCTGCCACAAAGTCAAAGTTAATTTAGAGTGATTGCACTAGTTAACCAGTGAACATCTGCAGCAACTAAACACAAAATGCCATATATCATTACCCAGAACTTCATGGAAAACACAAATTGATTATCAAATTAAGAAGGATAATGGAGGAAAGTGGATATCTATGATTGAAATGGAAATTGGAAAGAAATTCAATAATGGAAATGAACCAGGGAATCCTCCCTCTCTCTACGCACTAAAGCAAGAGCCAATACAAAAACTAGGAAAACATTCTCTACCCCAATACGTTTGACCTCCTCCCTTAAATAGAGGCGCAGGCACTCTCTCCCCTAACTAATTATTAGTCACTTTCCTTTTCTGCCTTTTTGGGCCTTCTAGAATATACCTTAAGAATACTTGGTTTATTCTTATTATGGTCCAGCCCAACCAAATCCGTAACATTACCCTGCCCTTCCAGTGAAGTCTTGTCCTCAAGACTTGCTTCTGGAAATTGACTCTTAATAGTCATTGCGTCCTCCCATGTTGCTTCTTCCAAAGGGCGATCCTTCCATTTAATCAACCACTGTACACTTGATTCGTTATGAACATTAACTGTACGAACTGCTTGAATCGAGTCTCGAACTAGTATATCAGAAGAATTAGTTTCCAATTCGGGTGGAAGGTTCTGCTCCACTGAATCCGACATCACTGCCTTTTTTGAGTAACGAAACGTGAAAGACCGGATGTACTCTAGAAGACGCAGGCAGCTCTAGTTTATATGCTACCGGACCAATTCGATTTACGATCTTGAAAAGCCCAAAATAACGAGTGGCTAACTTCTGATGGATTCGGTGCGCCATGGTCAACTGTCGATACGGTTTCAACTTCACATAAACCCATTTGCCAACATTAAAACTCACCTCGCGTCTTTTTTTATCTGCCTGTTGTTTCATTATCGCCTGAGCATGCGATAAATGGAACTTAAGTTGTTTTAATGCTTCATCTCGATCCCGTAACTCTTGGCTCACAGCTTCTACCCGGATCTCCCCTGGAATAAACTGAATTACAGTGGGTGGTTTTCGCCCGTAAACTGTTTCAAATGGCGACTTTCCAGTTGATCCGTGAAAAGTAGAATTATACCAAAATTCCGCCCAAGGAATCCATATTGACCACGAACGGGGTTGGTCAGTTGCAAAACATAGCAACGATTGATAGTTTCAGTTTGACCGTCTGATTGTGATACGTCGAACTCATACGTAACTGAGTTCCTTGTAGACGGAAAATTTCTTGCCAAAACTGACTAAGAAACAATGGGTCACGGTCGCTAACGATCGACTTGGGAATTCCATGATGACGCACCACTTCCCGAACAAAGATGTCAGTTATTGACCTTGTTGTATATGGGTGTTTTAGAAGAATGAAGTGGCTGTATTTCGAAAGACGGTCTACCACCACCAAAATCGCGTCAAAGCCTTTCGACTTAGGTAAGCCCAAAATGAAGTCCATTGAAAGATGTTCCCAGATCGTCTCCGGAATGTCCAAGGGCTGCAAAAGACCCCCTGGTGAGGTGGAATCCGACTTACAACGATGGCACACGTCGCACAACACAAATTGTTGCACAACAGCTATCATTCCTGGCCAATATAGATCAAGTGCTAAACGACGGTAATTTCGATAATAGCCGGAGTGCCCTCCGGAACCTGATTCATGGAATTCTTTGATTAAGGTGGCAATAAATTTCGATGTACGAGGAATCACCAAACGACCCTTATAATAAAGTATTCCAAGTCGAACAGTGTAACCCGAATGAGAATTAGGATCCTGTTGCAATTCTTGAATTGTCTTTTGAATAACAGCATCCTTACGGGTTTCTTCAATCAGTTGAGCCCCTTGGACCCAAACTGGATAGGATAGTATCGAAGTCAACTCACCTTCCTCGACGCTTCGTGATAATGCATCAGCAGCCCTATTTTCCCGTCCTGGCTTATAACAAATATCAAACTGGTAACCAAGTAATTTAGCCACCCAGTTTTGTTGCCCCGGGTTAGTAATTCGCTGCTGTAACAAAAACTTTAAGGTTTTTTGATCAGTGTACACCGTAAAACATGTTCCCAATAAGTAAGCTCGCCACTGTTGAACCGCCAATACCAAAGCCATGATCTCTCTTTCATAAGCCGACTTGGATAAATTACGTTCACTCAAAGCCTTGCTAAAATAAGCGATGGGACGTTGTGCTTGCATTAAGACTGCTCCGATTCCTTTACCCGATGCGTCACATTCAACTATAAATGGTTGAGTAAAATCAAGAAGTGCCAAAAGTGGAGCCGTAACCATGGCAGCTTTGAGTGCTTCGAAGGCTTGTTGAGCTTCCAAATTCCAACAAAAAGCATCCTTCTTTGTGAGGTCCGTGAGCGGTTTTGCAATGCTACCATAGTGGCGAATAAACTTCCGATAATATCCCGTAAGACCTAAAAATCCCCGTAATCCTTTTAGTTGTTTTGGAACTGGCCAATCCAAAACAACCTCTATTTTTTTCGGGTCCATTGACACTCCTTTGCCGCTTATAATATGACCCAATTAATCAATGGATGATTGCCCAAACGAACACTTTTTACGATTCACCACAAATTGATTCTCGAGTAAAACGTGTAGCACCACCGTTAAATCCTTCATATGTTTTGACCAAGTGGGGCTATAAATAAGGATATCATCGAAGAAAACCACCACAAATTTACGTAGAAAGGGTCGAAAAATGTCGTTCATAACAGACTGAAAGGTAGTCGGCGCATTGGTGAGCCCAAACGGCATCACCAAATACTCATAGTGACCGTCATGGGTGCGAAATGTTGTCTTATCAATGTTGTCCGGCTGCATTCTGATTTGATTATAACCGGACTTCAAATCCAGTTTAGAGAGAAAAAATGCACCCTTCAATTCATCAATAAGTTCCTCGACTATTGGAATCGGAAACTTATCCGGTATCGTGGCTTTGTTGAGAGCACGATAATCCACACACATCCGCCACGATTGATCCTTCTTTTTGACCAAAATGACTGGGCTGGAAAATGTGCTTTTACTTGGTCGAATCATACCAAGATTCAAAAGTTTTGCAACTTGCTTCTCAATTTCAACTTTTGGATGTGGGGGTATCTATACGGTCGAACACAAATGGGTTCATGAGACTTGATTAAAGAAATTCTATGATCGTGAGCACGCCGTGGAGGTAATCCTGTTGGATCCCGAAATACATCTGAAAAACGATCAAATAAGGATTGTAAATCTTCTTGTTGTGCTAAAGATAACTCCTCCTGTTCCTTTTGACCCGACGAAACAGTATTCAGAAGACGGGCCTGAGAAGGATTGTTGAGTGACAACCACAATTGAAGAGAAGCTTGGGAAACTTGAACTTTAGATAAACTGGATGCACACCGACTTACCTTGAAATACAAATTTCATGGAAGACTGTTCCCAGTTATGGATCACTTCTCCCAAGGTCTTAAGCCATTCCATGCCTAAAACCATGTCCAAATGTCCCATTTCAAAAACCAGAGCCTCCACCTCGAAATCACATGTCCCCACTCGTACTTTAAGGTGCGTACAACGTTGGTTAATAAAGATTTTATGGCCATCACCTAGCTGGATGTTGATGCCGTCAAAAAATTCGGAAGATAACCCTAACACGGTCACCAATTTCTGAGAGATAAAATTATGCGTGGCTCCACTGTCCACCAAAATCACCACCAGAATACCTGCTATTGCCCCCTCAAACTTTAAGGTTTTGCCACCAGAAGATAAGTCAGCAGTAGCTCCGAAGAATTCCAAAGCCATACATAATCCAGTTGAAGGAATTTCCTTCTCGTTAGTGACTGGCTCCTCCATTGTTTCGACGGTCTAAAGCTCACCATCCCCATCTACAGATTCATCGTCGCCAAGAGAAGAATCCGTAATTTCCCTTCGGGGCATTTGTGAGCGGGACCGAATTGCTGCCCACAATGGAAACACAACCCTTTCTTACGACGCTCCTCCCATTCTGTACGGGTCAGAGACCGAATACCCCGATTGCGATTGAACAATTGGCCATAGTCTGCTGATTGAATCCCGACAGTAGATTCGGAGGCATCCGACCTGCATCGTTACGTGTAGTTGGGCTTTTCTCACTAGAAAGAGAACTACCGGGCCCTTTGTTCTCATATCGACCCAAAAGATTGGATTTGAAATCCCCTTGGGAAGAGAAGCCCAACCCACCTCCTGCATGATATCGAATCGAAATCGGGACTGGGAAATATTCCCGAAAGAAGGGCGAAGCATCTCTTCGATATCTTTAGCAAGATACATGACATCGAGACGAGATTGAGGTCGATGGAGACGTACCCATCGTTTCACGTCATCTCTTAAACCCGCAATGAAGTACCCGAGGGTCTGTGTCTCGGGTAATCGCAGTACCAAGGACAACAAATATTCAAAATCGTCTATATAATCGTGAATAGAAGATACCTGCTTCATCGTCGCCAATTGTTCGAAAGGATTATGAATCTCTAATCCCGAAAATCGTTGGAGAAGTTCGGCGGACAATTGTTCCCACGTAAGGGACTCGTAAATCTGTTTCACAATCGTGAAGCAATGTTGAGCCACCCCAACCATACTTAATTGAGCAAGACGAATTCGAAGGTGAGCTGGTGTACCATGAATGTCAAAGTATAATTCAGCCTTCTGAATCCATCCTTGAGGATCGAACCCATAGAATTCGGGCAATTTTACCTTCTTTGCCGCCCATGGTAACATATCGGAAGAACCCCATCGTGGACCAGAACTGAGGGAGCTGTCTCCTTGCAGTGGTGGTGACATTCCCTGAGAATTATGTGGAATTGAGGATCCATTGGAGGCCCCAGACGGTCCTCCACTTTCGAGGTTGGGTTGAACACCCTGTTGTTTCACCGATGCCATAAGCATCTTACGAAATTCAGCTTCCTCCGCTCGCTCTGATTCCCACGCTTGCATTCCCACTTTTATTTCTTGAATATCCGATTGCAACCTTTGAATATGTTCTTCATGTTGCTTCAAACGGTTCATTTGAGATCGAGTTTCCATGGATTCCACACAGCAGGTCAAGGTAGGTCGGACCAATGATGGAAATCACAAATTGATCATCAAATTAAGAAGGATAATGGAGGAAAGTGGATATCTATGATTGAAATGGAAATTGAAAAGAAATACAATAATGGAAATGAACCAGGGAATCCTCCCTCTCTCTACGCGCTAAAGCAAGAGCCAATACAAAAACTAGGAAAACATTTTCTACCCCAATACGTTTGACCTCCTCCCTTAAATAGAGGCAGGCACTCTCTCCCCTAACTAATGATTAGCCACTTTCCTTTTCTGCCTTTTTGGGCCTTCTAGAATATACCTTAAGAATACTTGGTTTATTCTTATTATGGTCCAGCTCAACCAAATCCGTAACAGAACTTGTGTGTGAATTAAGATCGAGCTAATAGCCTAAAAGTATTCTCCAACTTAAAGAGTTTATGCATGATTCACATCTTATCTCCTTCCCCAGATGTAACAATAACTAGACAAAAAATATGATTTATTCTTCCTCTACTTTGATTGATTTGAGGACTTGGTGATATAACATCCAACAATTTTAGTTAAAGTTATGCTTTTGTGACTTATTGTAGTCTTGCCATCTGCAAAACCATAAATGCTTATGCTCATTTGACAAAGTATGTATTTACAAGAACATTAATAACCTTGTATATCTCACATCCAGTATTACTTGTAAACGCCAGTGTGGCAAAAACTTTCTGAAGCTCTTTCATATAAGTAGCTGCCCATGGTGCAAGGTACTTTCGGGCATACATAACAGCCCGAACATTGTTGTCACTGCGTACCAATTCAATGAACTCCTGAAGTCTCAACTGAAACTCAAATTTGCTCTGTCATAAAGAAATGCACTCGATATTAGCCATGTTCATGCGAAATATTATGCAACCATGTAAATAACTTTTTATCAGATGGAATATACAAGAATTTCCAAGGAATCACAAGCAAATATTCCTTGGCAAGCCAAAATAGTAACTTTTGACGGGCGACATTGCAGCCACATTAAGAATTGGTTGTAACAGTCTGAATTGCATAAAATGTCAACAAAAATAAAACCACTACATTGAGTAATAAGCTTATCATTAGCAGTCCACCTTTATTTTCACCAAAAATATCAGTAACATGAAGTGTATCAACAAAATTAGGCCAACAACTAAGCATGACAGAAATAGAGAGCCTCGCATGAATTCACTTCCTACTAGAACAAACAGAATGGCTGCTGAATGAAACCTATGCAGAGCACAAACATCTATCATGCATAACTTATCTTGCAAGCGGATATAAAGTGAAATGGAGATGTTCAAAACGGGTACTGGAAGGAGACTCGGCCAAAAGAAAACTTTTATACTACTGAAGAGTGGAGATTAATAAAATCAATGTTTTAGATATTAGTTAATCAGAAACATCACATCTTAAGATGCTAAAGACGGAAAAGTGACCCCTCCCCCCAAAAAAACAAAAAATAAAAATCAGACCAACATCATTTCCCTCCTATCACATATTATGGGGATTGATGGCACCCAGAGACATGTCCTGGAAGAATGGGGTTTTGATTTCTACGTTTTTTATTTGGTTTCACTTGTTCTTACTGCAGATCCATTTTTAGCCTAACCCATCTAGTTTGGGATAAAAGATTTCTTCCTGTTTTGTTTGGCTAACACCACTGCTAGACCTGATATAAGGATAACTTGCACATGAAGGATAAAAAATAGCCAGGGGCATTTTCATAGCTATAGATGAGGGTAATTGTGTAACAACGGCTGGTTATAAATATCAGTTAGGCGGTTGAGTAAGTAAGCTGGTATGGTTAAGTCAGTTAGCAGCTAGTATAAATAATGAAGGGGTCTGGACAGATAGGGGCATCATTTTCTGGTATTCAATTTGTAAGGAAGAATTTGCTGGAAGAGTTCCAGCCTCTTGAAAGCAGGCCTTTGAATGACATCAGACAATTCTGTGAAATACTTCAATCGTATTCCTGAATTGAATTAGCTTGCATCTACCACCTTGAAGTAGAAGAAAATAAAAACATGACTGATACTGGTCATGCCATTTTGACGATATTCATGAACTACAGACAGGTCTCACTTATAAATTATTTCTTCATGATTTATATAACAAGCATAACATGCCTTCAGCAATCTAAAAAAGAGGTACAAATGCAAACAAAATTGGTCAATGAAAATTGAATAAATGCATATTGACTCCCCCCCCCCCCAAAAAAAAAAAAGAACTTCAGTTCTTTTCTCTCCCTAAGCTTTTTTGGGGTAACTTATTCCCATAAAATAATCTCATCCATTCATATCCAACTCAGCAACAACCATCTAAACTTCTTGATTCATACATCATTATGAGCCTGATTCTCTGAGAATATTATTCCATACATCTTCTAAGACCATGGTGTAATGCCTATTTTTCTCCAAGTTTCTGGTTGTAAATTGTGCATGTCCAGTTGCCAGCAGCTCCTCACAAGCTTAGCATCTCAAATCAATATCAAGCAATGGTCAGAGAAAACATCAAATATTTCCGCTATGAATCAAACTGACCTTTCAATATTATATATCAGGATTTTACCTGGTTCGAGTTTAAGGACAAGCATATCATTTACAAACTTCTTGACAGTACACATGACATTCAGTCTGCTACCAATTAATAGTATATTGATATAAATTGAAATGAGTTTGTGAAAGACTATAGTGTTACTTCATTTAATATGATCAATCTTTTAACCCTCCTTAGACTCTGTGTCATCAGCACTTTTCTCTGCATGAGTTAGGGGACGTTTTGGTATTGACTTAATGGCATGTATGGCTTATTCGGTAAGCCATACATGACTGTTTGCTTGTGGTTATTAGTTCAGATGATAATTTATTTGCTCAGCCCAAGACAGAGAGCTTAATTCATACAGCCCGTCTTTTTCCATCCCTACCCTTCAAACACGACCTGAAAACATGCTCCCTACCCTTCAACTCACTGCTGCTCAAAAGAATAATGTTACTTTATTTCATATAATCATGTTACAATTCGCTCAATCTTTTAGCCCTCCATATTATCTTTAGTAAAACTATGCCAAACAACTCTGGGAAACATTGAACATTTGGAGAAGAACCCTGAACTCTGACTTTAATTGCTAATACTTCCAAAACAAGATGTATAGCAATACATATACTTCAGATAATTATGAATAATCAATTCCTAATGTGTTCAAAAACCAAATCCAGCAGAAACTTTGAAGCACCTACAACTTCTAGGATTTATCGCACCAGAAGAATCAACCTTGAATGGTTCATCACTCACCATATGATGCAAAAATCATCTCATAATGATTATGCTGAGACTAGAGGATTTTAAGGAGCACTTATAGTAAATGACAAAAAAAGTGTCGCTTTATGAGCACCTTAAATTTAAAGCCTTTGAGAATGCAGAGGTACGTTTTCGTAATCCTACCAAGACTTTCTGATATATGTGGCTTCATTCATCATCTCCAGACTAGATTAAAGATCTTTTAGGTGCACAGTATATCAATTTCATTTCATAAGAATTAAGAATTCTGTCACCTCAAAATTTAAAATGATCATCCAGAACTTCAATGACTAATCAACAGAAATTATGAAGAGATAACTTGAGAGGTTCCAAACTTCCAATAAACAGAATCAATTGCTATAACCATTTCCTTAAAAAAGCATATAATTGAATAGTGAGCCAAGCACACGTCTGCTCTGCATCCTTGTAACAAATTGTTAGGCTTTACTAGCATAAGTGACCATCATGTAACCGACTTTGAAATCCATGGTAGAACCAGTCTTTCTTAATGAATAGGTTAACTTTTATCAGGACCAGTTGATTAACAAAAGATTTTGCATAGGTTCTGCCTAGGTGAAGATTATAATCCTCATCAACAACGTCCCTGTTTCATCTAAAAAATGGTTGCTGTTTCATACTGACCTATTGTCCATATGAACATCCTCATTAATATGAATAACATGTTCCACAAAGAAGATAAATGATGCCAAATTTGGGTTCAACTAGGGGTACTCAAAATTAAATACAACCTCAACCCATTATGATACAAGAAGCACTACTTCTTACCTAGACAGACTACTTAACTAAATAGATGGTTTGCTTGGAGAACTGGCATCAAATACAGAACTGGTAATTGCTCAAATTTGAAAATTTAAACAGAGTGCTCATAAGAATTTGTTCATTATGAACCTTGGAAAAAGTTCAAACTCCAAAGTATTCAGTATGACATAAAAAATGTACAAAAGAAGACAACTAAATGACAATTCAGCACCTCTATTCCATATCACCAACAATTACAAGTTTAAACAATAAAAAGGAAGTACCTTGGCCTTCTTAAGCCTAGACTTGTTATCAGCACACCAAGCTAGAGCAGGAGCTACCTCCTTATTCCGTAGAGCATCAATAACTTTTTTGGCTTCATAAAAGATTTCAATATCAACAAGATCCTGTCAAAAAGAAAGAAGCGAGAATGTGAGAAAAATTTATAAGAGAATCTCAAGTGAGTCCTCAAGATCACCCAAAGAAAAACCATTGATGCTTGTCATTGGGGGGTTGAACCCTTATATAGTTCCTGCTTTATGGAATCTTCAAACCATAAAGCATCAATACGTACTCTTTGGATGTACTACACTATTAACAACACTAGGTTGTACTTTGTCCTACACACTGAAAGAAAAGAAACAGATGGATATGATGCCTAAAAATTTCCAAACTAAATCAACAGATTCACTATAGGTGAATCTTGAGAAACCAAGAAGAAACTTCAAAATAAACAAGATCTACTTTAAATCATTGCCTCTATGGCCCCAATCAACAGCATCCATGGATAAATACCTAAACCAGTTGATTAATTTATCTCAGCACCAAAAACGCCAAGTACCTGTATGCTACTGCTTTCAGCAAGCTTTGTGGCAGTGTCATAGTACGACATGCGCAACATATAGTCCACCAGTATTCGCTTCAACCGCGTATTATTCCACTCTGATATATTGTCCGCATCAGCAGATTCCAAATGATCAAGTCGGGCCCTACACCGCTGCGCTTGAAGATTCTCAGCCCGACTCCCATCTTCCAACTGTTTAGTTGCAAATTACGAGTCATTGATTAACCAACTATTTTCCTACCAAGATTCCTAATCACCCAAAAAAATAAATACACAACAGAAATTAAGTGATGTAATACAATCAAGTACTGCATTTAGATAAATGGAGCCCTAGAATAATAATTAAATTAGGGTTATAAGGATAAGGGATAATAATTACCTTCCGCTTGAGACCTTGTAATCTAGAGACGAGAGAATTGAGATGTTGCACGGCATCGTCTTGGGAAAGATCACCGGCATCTGATAGACCAGACATGACGGCTGAGACCTCTTTCTCGACAGCCCGGTGGTTGGCACGGATCGTCTTCTTGTAGTGTTCAAATGGGACTCTTAGGAACTGATGTTCTAGTTTCAAGGACTCGGTCAGTTGGCTGAGTTTGGAAGACGGAACTCCGGCGTGAAGTGATGGGAGGGATGTGGCCGTGGCTGACGCCGTGGTGGCGTTGGTGACGGTGGAATTGCCGTTCGGAAGGGGTTCCATTTTTGTTGGGAGAAGGGAGGAATCAAATCGAGGGGGAGGTGGAGTATAAGTGCACAAGGACACAAATGGTTGGGACCATTGGGGGAGGTCAAGGTGCACCTGCTAGAAGGTCCAACTATACGACGCCGTTTCAGGTGACTCGAATCTAATCCACTTCCATTTTCATTTGTTTAACCGTTAAATTTAAGGGAAAATTGCATCAAAATGGAACCAATTTTTACCTGATTTTTATTTTGGGGAACCAATTTTTAAAATCGTTATTTTAGAAACCAACTTTCACCTGATTCCTATTTTGAGAACCAACTTTCAAAATCGTCATTTTAAGGAACCAACTTGCATCTGATTCTTATTTTGGGGAACCAACTTGCAAAATAATCATAGAAAAATGGGAAAATTCCATCAAAATGGAACCAACTTTCACTTAATTCATATTTTGGGGAACCAACTTTTAAAATCGTCATTTAAGGGTCTCTATCAAACTTTTGTTTATTTAAGGGTCTGGTTAATCTGTTGAACATGTAACATGTAATTTAAGGGTCTCTATCAAAGTTTTGGTTGGATTTGCAAAATTTGATTTATACGTTAATAGTAACACAGATTGGTTAGATATAAAAATCTTGAATGTGATATTTAATATTTATTTTTTATTGCATCAATTAATTTTTTTTCTGTTAAATTGATTTTTTATTGCATTAACAAAAAACAATTTTTATCGTGGTAATTTGGATTTTTTTTCGAAAAAATCTTCAATTTGATATCTGAATTAAAAAAAACGATATTATGAAAAATAGATTTTAATGCATTAATTTTTGAAAAAAAAAATTAGTTGTTTTTCTATAATTATTTTTGAAAATTGGTTCCCCAAAATAGGAATCAGATGCAAGTTTGTTCCCCAAAATGAAGATTTTGAAAGTTAGTTCCCCAAAATAGGAATCAGGTGAAAGTTGGTTCCCCAAAATGACGATTTTGAAAGTTGGTTCGCCAAAATAGGAATCAGGTGCAAGTTGGTTCCCCAAAATGACGATTTTGAAAGTTGGTTCCCCAAAATAGGAATCAGGTGAAAGTTGGTTCCCCAAAATGACGATTTTGAAAGTTGGTTCCCCAAAATAGAAATTAGGTGAAAGTTGGTTCCATTTTGATGCAATTTTCCCTAAATTTAACTTCTTGTAAAAACTGTAAAATCGAAAATTTTGTCTTTTAGTCCATAATTTCTCGTTTAAAAATATTCAAACAAATAAAAAACCAGTAAAATTAAATGAATTTTGTTGGATGATCAAATTAGGATTATTAATCAATCAAATTAACGGTTATTTTCTCAATTCATAATATACCCGCACATCAAAATCGATCATTCCGATCGATACACAAACCAAACGAAACCAAACGATGTTAACAGGGTCGTGGATGTACATAGAGCAAACGATACATGCATGACATTTACTGATGTTACGAAAAGACCCGGTTAGCCAAAAATCTAAATGTTATACTTGAGGTTGTTTGTTCGATCCTTATAGTCTAGTATCTTTATTGTTGATATACTTAGGGTGCGTGCGTTTGGTTTGTTGGAATGAAATGTAATTGGAGGGATTCAGATTTGAAATCCATTCCAATCGACTGTTTGGTTTATAAGATTGTCAGGATTTGAAATCCAATGATTCTTTTGAAATCCCATGACTGATGGATTTGGAAATCCTTTGGAAGAGGTTGGTATTTCAAATCCAAATGGATTTGAAAAAGTTGCTTCCGGCCCTAACTTTAGCCGCACCGCTTCATTCCCTCTGGCTTTCAACAAAAACGACGTCACTGCTCTCTAGTGCTCTCCTCGACAGTTATAATTAAAATTTAGAACCGGTAAAACCCACGATGACGCCATTAATTCGGTGGTTCCCGTTTCGACGGTCTGGTTTTCACCGAATTTGCAGACGGGTCGTTGAAGGTGTGGCGAAGGGAGTTGGTGGGGAAAATAAATGAAGCACGTGATGCTTTACGGTTTACTAAACCAGGAGAACGTCGTGATAGCGTTGGCAGCGAACACGACGGAAGCCATCGTGTACGCCAGATCTTCATATGGGTTAATGAATGTCTTGGAACGATCAAAACATACGTTGGCTCACTGTGGGGTTATCAGAGGTCACAAACAAGCATTTTGTTATCTCGTCATTGCGGGGAGCTTGTTGTTTAGTGGATCGTCGAACAAGAACATCTATGTGTGGCGGAGGGAAGTCGGCGGCTTCCACTCATGCCTTTTGGCCTTAACCGACAATACAACTCCAGTCAAATGTTTGGCGGTGACGATAAGAATAGTGTTCGAGAATGGCTAATGTATAGCGGTAGTTTAGATAAGTCGGTGAAATTGTGAGGGGTGGCGGAGTAGCCAATGAAGTAGTACACGCCACCATAATTAAATCCCAGTCCAAATCCTACAACCCAAACATGATTTATAAAGAATCCATTCCAAATCCTACAAACCAAACACACAAAAGGATTTCAAATCCATTCCAATCCAATCCAATCCAAATCCCTCAAAAATAATCCTACAAACCAAACGGACCCTTAGTAATAATACTGTAAGGCCTTTGCCTCGTAGCCTAAATTTAGAAGAAAAAATAAATATTTCCTAGAAAAAAGAATGAAACAGGCAGCCTATTGTAAGGTGAGAAACGTATGAAGGGATCTGGACCCTTGATCATTTTTAATATCACCCCTACCTCATGAATTGCGTTTATCACGTTAATTGATTCGGTGCATCTCGGTACACCACATTAATATTGATCTTTACTTAGGATTGATCCAAGGGTAGAAATCCTTTTTTACCCGTCTCACTAAAAACTTGCATTCTCATTGGAACTAAATCTTGTAAAGTAATTATTTAATCTAACTATCTAGATCATCTTCCCCATGTTTGATGTCTATTATAAATTTAGTTTCAAAATATTTGAGAACGACACCTCTCAGATGTCTAGTTTATTCTCTCACAATAATCAAGTGAGCGCACGGGAGGCTGCTCAACTCTAAATAGATCCGCTGCTAGGTGAAATCTCAACTTGATCCAACCGTACTGATATGCAATACCGTTGCTGACATTTTTTTTGGCCATGGGCGAGATGTGAAAAAGGACCCTCGATAAGTACTATATTTTTTCAATATACTGTTTTTATCATCAGAAATAACATTGATTTCATATAAATATGTTTTTTCCGAGTATTACTAGACGCAAAATCATTCAATAATCACTTCTAAATTATATTACCTACCGGAACATTTTTATATAGCATGTCAATTTGTTACATTATCAAAAATATCCTATGATATATTTTAGGTACACAGAATGACATCATTTGAGGTCACAATGTTAACTCTTTATGATTTTCAAGTAACACTATATAAATCAATGTAAATATGTTGTTTTTTCATGTCACCTCATGTTAATGTCTTTTAACATGATTTTCAACTTCTATACTATATTCTCGAATTTGGGAAAGAATGAGAAAGGAAAAGAAAAATAAAAGAAAGAAAAAAAAATAAAGTTTTTTTATTTGTGCTTTTTTGATAATGAAATAAAAATAAATTTTGATATAATTTTTTTTTCCTTTCCTTAATAAGTTTAAATTTTTCTATAATTATTAATCTTATAAATTAAAAAATCCATGTTGGTTATAATTTAAGATATTTTTTTCTTTTAGAGATAGAAGAATATACAAGATTTATGCACTAAATATTAGATAATAAAGAACAACTATGAAAAAAACAATTATAGTCTCATACAGTTGTTTTTTTCTCTTTTCAAAAGATGGGGTTTTGTTAGCTAATTACAAGAAAATCTACTATATTCTAATACAAAAATAAAATTCATGCAAGAATGGAATAATAAAAGAGTCGATCGGAGATGAATTATGGAGAATATATCAAAGTTTTCAAGGCAAATATTTTAGACGTCGGTATTAGATAAAAAGCAATTGAGAAACACTAAACAATATTATATAATGAACGACAAGTTTAACTTTCTTATGTGTTTTCGTCTCCAATATATTTAATTAATACATGTTTGGGTCTTTATTAGATACTACTTTTTCCACGTCTCTTCTATTTACTAATTTTTTTGAACTTACTATTATATTACTAAATAAATCTAGACCTTAATTTTTATGGGCACTGGACGTACGTCCGACTCGTCCTCTCTCAAGAACGACCCTCTTGATAGTTTTGGTTTAATTTGACAAACGCAATTGACCGAACTTGACCATACATGTCCCCACAACTCGAGCCAAGGTTCGTTTAGAAAATTATGTTGGAATAGTTAAAATTATTTAGGTTTTTATGGCTCATCTTCGTTTATTTGTTCTCAACAAAACGAAAAACTTCACTACCCAGGATCAACAGAACTGCATATCAGTATTACAATCAAGAATTAACTCTTCTTCACAAACAGCACCAACTTGTCTTGTAAAGATTTTAAACTCTTGCATTTCTTAAGAGAGCTTGTTCATAATTGCGATATTATCTGTAACATTTCTTAATCACACTTCCAAATAAGGATGAGAACAACGCGAGAGGAGAGTTGGGTATGTCATCCCTATCCCAGTCCCCAACCAGTAAGAGGCATAATAAAGATCGAAAATCTCACACTGTAAGTTAGGGAGAAGACTCTTAAGCAATAAGCATTTAACAGGTAAAAAAAGTTTACCAACAATGCATTTTGAATGCCGAAAACGATAGTTGTGACTCTTGCCGGTAAATGCTTACCAACCACTAAATTGCATAACATAAAGAAACCAAATTCAAAGCCATTGCAAGCTAAAAAAATGGTGTAAATGCCATTGATGACGATTAAAGCAATGAAGATCTCAAAGGAAACATGTAGTAGTCTGTGATCTGATATGGTCTTTAGGTACAAGCAAACTTTTAACAAAACTGAGATGCACCTGGGCATCTTACCCCCTGCCCACCACCCTACCCCTCAATCCCAAAACAAAAATGAAAACAAGAACAACCCAACTGCACATTAGCTTCATATGCCAATCATCAGAGCTTCTGCATAATCTTCTTGGCATAATCATCAACTGTGTGTTATTACATTTCAGAAGAACGAAGCTATGCGAAATCCCTCCATTTTATTTTCAGGAATTTACGTGAAATAAAAAGGGACGCGGGGATCATAAATGCATGATACCACCTTTCACCGATATCATGGCACCGCTGGACGAACTTTTGGTTGGCAAATGGCAGTTCAGAAACAAAACTATAACTGTGATGTCATCATGGAAGTGTCTTCTTACCCCTCCGTCTACTTTCTTTAGGTCCGAGTATCTCATTTCTCTTTTCTTTGCCGCTTCAATCAGCGCAGCTTTAACAAGTTTCCTCGCAATTCCCTGCTAGATATTTTGGAATTGTTTTAGGAGACGAAATTTAAACCATACTGAGCCGTTAAATCTCACGTAGGGTCTGGGAGTAGGATGGAAACAGATCTTGCCTCTACCCAAAGGGGAGAGAGACTGTTTTCTTGAAAATCCCCCCGCTTGCAAATAAGAAATTAAAAGAAGAGTAAATTACATTTTTTGTCCCTGTGGTTTCAAAATTACGGTTTTTGTCCCAATGGTTTGTAATTCATTGATGTTTTAGTCCCTGAAATTAATTCCTACCCTTAAGTATGAGGGGACTAAAATAGCAACGAATTGTAAACCACAGGACAAAAACAGCAATGAAGTTTAAATCACAAGGACGAAAATAATTTGAATTCTTGCAACAACAAATGGGACCACAAAATGAGTGGCAAACGAAGAGGGCATAAGATATTTTTCCCGTCTCCATTTTAGGAGAACTGGAATCATATGATTGAACCTTAAAGGCTAGCTCAACTGTCAAATAAAGACTAGGCCTCTTGAAGCTCCTTCCCATAGGCCGCTAGTTCAAGTCTCCTCTGGGCCACTCGGATTTTTCTGAGTGTAATGTTTAGGGATTAGTCATGGTGCAAGCACGTTGACCTAGCCCGGACACCCATGATTACCCAAAAAAAAAAGAATCACATGGTTGCTTATCTGTGACCATATAAATGCTTAGGTTTGAATTACGGTAAGTGGGTAACAAAATGCATATCGAATTTGAAGTTGGAAATTTGATCATAATTCTCTGTTTGATGCGAATGGATGGGAGTGCCTTAAGATGTATAAAATATGGAAAATTTCGAGAGAAACTTACATGGCGTGGTGAACTTTTGACTATATCAACTGCCTCTTGATCGCTAAGATGCTCCCACAGGCCATCAGATGCAAAAATAAGAAACTGATCTTTGGGGGTGAGCTTCTGCACTAGTATGGATGGTTCAGCTTTTAGAATGGGCTGGCTGAAAGATTCAGACAGTCTAAATTTTGGCAATAAAGGGTCTCTATTGAACTCTGGTTTCTTCAGATATGCATCACCGATTGATCTAGAAACCTGCAAGATTGTGAAATTTGCTTAGAAATCGTGTTAAAATATAAATTATTGGGTTAATATCCGTTAAAACCAAATCAACCAACCAATTCCATAAAGAATGCAAGCATAATACTCCCTCGGCCTCGTAGATATTGCAACAATGTCCCATATTAATCAAAATGCTTCATTTTGAGAAAGATTTGCATATGTGCATATCGTCCTCATTACAAATTATAAACATGTGATTATTGAGGTAGTTTAGTAAAATGTCCCATATTAATCAAAATGCTTCATTTTGAGAAAGATTTGGCATATGTGCATATCGTCCTCATTACAAATTATAAACATGTGATCATTGAGGTAGTTTAGTAAAATGACTGATAATTGCACACTTCCATCAAACTATGTTCAACTAGAAGTTGCAACTTTAAAGGGGCGGAGGGAGTAATACTAGTTAAGAATAACAATCACCATGTATCTTGAATGTCAAAACTACTCAACTTGAACAAACCTTTATCGCGTACTAGTTGGGATAGGCTGAATAGAAACCCACAAAAAACTATGAGAGGGAGGGATGAAGGCCGGATAAACTCAAAACCACACAAACATGTCAACTACCTAAAATCTTAGTATATTATATCTATATACGACAAATACTCATGCACACTCCTCACTATTGGTGAGGTTTGAACCCTTCACCTCAGAATGATAAAGAAACCACAATGAAGCAAGTGGCACTGGAAGGTTCTTTCCCTTATTCTCATTTTTTTCTTTTTCATGCAAAATGTTGCCTAAGCAGTTTGTGTTCTTGTCTTAAATGAGAAAAAGGCGACCCCTGTATACCAAGTTCCCTCAGCCTTGCGAGGTATTTATGAGGGGAACACTTCATGCATAGTTTTCCTGCAAAAGGGTACGGCACCACCCTTTAGAGCCCCTACCGTACTGGTCCCATGGCCATCATGGGAGAGGTAAATCACATGTCCAGGGACCGAACCACAGACCTCCCACTTGTTTTTGCAAGAATGTCCACCTTCTTACCCGCTAGGCTAAAACCTTAGGGACTCATTCATAGTCTTTTCCCTTGTATTTTCACATATATTTCTCTTTCTCTTATGCTACAAAGAATTAGCCTTAACCGTTGCTTCTAGACTTGCCCACTCTTGCTTTATTGATGGCTCCAAAAAGTTACATAAACAGTATAGTGGATGTAGAATAATGGTTATTCACAAGAATGACGATTTTTTTTCTCAAATTGCATAAACCAAGAAGCTCTATAACACAGATTACCTGGATAAGACCTCTCACACGCCACACATTGTGCTTTAATACTACAATATTTGGATCATTTGGATGCAATGATCGTAGTTCCTCCCTAACAGATTCCATGTTAGCATTGTGTTCTTCTGAAACTCGAACAGCTTTGAACGTGTTGCTGGTTCTCTCTTCCCTTGCCAATACTGCACGGGAATCTCCTGCATTTGCAATGTACAACACTCCATTGCATATTATACCAACCAAACAACAAGATCCAACAGAAGCTACTCCGGGACTCCTTAGCCATTTACTTTCCACTAAAGAAAGGAACTCCTCTTCTGTAGCCAAAAACGCTTTGTGTACAATGTCATCCGACATTCCTTCACTCTCTGATGCGTATTCTGCATCATGAATAGATGTGAAATCAATAACATATGCAGTAGCAATTACAACAGGTTGTGTGCATTGGTTGAAGAGGAGACCTGTACCAAGAGGGATTTGGATAAAATGCTTGTTATTATCGTAAAATTAGTATGTTTGACATAAAAGATCAGCAATATCAACTTGACATTGATTACAATTCACATATAGATATCATATCATAAAGTCAAAATATGCTCCTTTATTGTCCCTCAATCTTTCTGGCCAAGCTTTCAAGATTTAAGTACATATTTACCCGTTGTTATTACAACTTATTGATGCTACTGATTATGGTCCATTCTTTTATGTTGTCATAATTAATATTTAAGACATTTGACAAATTGTTACAACTTGCATAACACTATTTATCCGGCCAGATTGGGGTGGGGGCAATAAAGCAAATTCAATAAGAAAGCCACACAACACTACAGACCTCTTCCAAATGGGTCCTTTGGTTAGATGACCTTTCAACTTTTTTAAAATCTATGACCTTTTGAAAGGTTGATAATGTCACCCCCTAAAAGAAGAATGTCACTTCCATATACAAGAATGTCACTAAACTTGACAGAAGGTTATGTTGTGAAATAAATTACCATTTAAGGCCAATAGCCTAAGTAATCCCTCCCAAATGCTACCATGATTCTCATATCTAAGTTCTAAAGAAAATCTTACTTGTCCACAGTATTATTATCTACTTGACTAATGTAATGAAAAGCACATGTATGCTCCCAATGGTCACCGGTTCGAGTCCCCAAAGGGCCACCGGAAGTTTGTATGGTTGTTAACTTCAAGTCCCTAGAGATTAGTCAACGTGCATGCAAGCTGGTCTAGACTCCCATAGTTATCCAAAAAAAAGCACATGTATGCACAGGGAAAAATAAATCACAATTTATAAGATGAAGAAACCACCATCATATTGTAAGGACACTTTCATATCAACAATTATGATTAACATATGAAAAAAATGAATACTCATGAACAGGTACCCTACTTTTCATATTGTCAAATAGTCTATCATTGATAAACCTCGAAGCTTCAGGGCCGGCATGACCATCATAGATTCCAACAAAGGTTCCTCTAGGGCCACATTCAACAGAGCTCAGACACCCAGATTCAAGTTGACATTGATCCTCTAACACTTTGTTGGCTTGGATCATTGCCATAGAAAAGTCACCATAAACATGTTTTCCAGAGTCCTTGTACCACCATAAACCGTCTACAATCCCACCGGAATCCGCCTCTCTACCACCGTTTTGACTATCACCTTCCAGAAAAGATGGCTTCCAGCAAGGATACACAATTTTCTTCAATGTAGTTCTAACCATTCTCCCTCTTTCACATAGTAATTCACCCAAAAAAAAGAGAAAAACTTCTCAGACAATAAGATGATAAAAAATCCGAGCTTTTCAGCCTAAATCTCTGCTCAGTCGCAAAACCCGCATCACAATCTCAAGAATTTATCACAAAATCGCATGTGGATATCATAAATCTGTAAAAGCATGATCGAACATAAAAAAAATATCAATGGTTATGGTAGAATATTGCAAACCTTTATGAAAATTGAATACAAATCCGGTCTGTGGCGAAGAATCAAACGCATTAAACACAGTTTAAAGCATCTCGTGGTTAAAACTGACCTTGAATCAGAAACTATTCAAATATGGTGGCAGCTGACAAACCCCACCATCATCATAACAACTCTTGAATTTGGCTTGATGATTATAAAGGGAAATTGCTCTTGATTTCGAAGAATTCTTGGATGCTAAGAAAGACGGTTCTACGTATGCCTATAAATAGCACACGCACTACACGTGAGTCCAATTTACTGTGGGCCTATTCAGGGTTTATTCGCTTGATGGGCTGTTGTCCAAATCTGTCCTCTAATAATACAATATTTACGAGGACAAAATAATAAAATAACAATATATTTTCATAAATTTATTTATTATAATATTATATTTTCAGTTTTTTTTTATTATAATAATGTATTTTCAAACTATTTTTTATTAGAATATTGTACTTTGAAAAATTTACTTATTATAGCATTGAGTAATCTTTTGATTTAAAATTACCCATTATATCAGGTTTTCATGTCATTTCATTGTCCACATGTATTATAGTGATGCGACTTTCTTACTACATCATTGTACTTTCAAAATAATTTTATTATAACATCTACTAGTTCTTATTAAAAACTGTATTTTTAATTTTAATATTTAGATATTTTACATGTTATTTAATAAATATATTAAATGAATTAAAAAAATTCTAAATTATTCATTANAAATATATTAAATGAATTAAAAAAATTCTAAATTATTCATTAATATACCAATATCATTAAAACTAGTAAAACACAACTTATCTCGTTAATATTTTTTTAAAAATATGTGTTTTTTGAAAAAATAAAATAAGAATTGTTTTTTTTTACCAAAAAATATTATCTTTTAAAGAATATATTATATTTGTTCAAAAAACTTATTTGACGTATAAATATATTAAATTAATTAGATTTTTTTGAATTATTTATTAATATAACAATATTAAAAAAAATTGTAGATCATAATTTATTTCGTTAACATTTTAAAGAGAACTTTAAAAGATATATATTTATTTGAACACCATAAAATAAGAAGTGTTATCTTTTTTATAAACAAAATATATTTCAAAATGTTTCATATGTATTTAAAAAATATTTATTCTAGAATATTTAATTTGCATGCAACTTAATAAGAAAAAGTCAAAAAAAATTAAATATTTTTTTAAATCATAGCAATGAAAAATGAAAATCACTAATAATAATTTGAAATAAGTTTTTATTTTTATTTTAGTTAAGTCATCAAAATGATAAGTCATCAAAATGATAAGTCATCAAAATGATAAGTCATCAAAATGATGTGTCATTCACGTCACCTTATTAAAGTCACACAAGCAAAAAAAGTACTATTAATGAAGGTTTTCAATGTACTTTTACTTTTTTCCATATAAAATACAGGAAATGAAAAAAACACCAAATTGTTCTTGGTTAAAAGACTAAAAGGTTGTTTACTGAGGGGGTGTTTGGGATTGCTTATTTGAAACAACTTATGCTTTTCTATAAAAACATTTGTCAACTTATTATAAGTCAGAAAAAATTAACTTCTTCAAAAACTTCTTATTACTGGTTTGACACTGATGTAAGTTGTTTATCCAAACACTTAAAAATGCTTATTACCAATACCATACCGAAATAAATGAATAAATTATTTTTATAAGCAATCTCAAACACCCCTAAATACTTATCTTTACGGGTATCTTTTATCTTATATCATAGACATAAAATCTTACACGATAATAACAACCATGAGTGAGTAAATGATGGACGATAATTCTTAACAATTTAACAACTTCCCCGGGGGGTTTATTCCTCATTTTTGATAACTGCCAATGAAGAATGGGCTTTCATGTACAAAACATCACCTGCTATAAACCCACCTTAAGCCCAACCGAATTCAAAATTTCAATCGCCCACCGGTCAGCCACCGTCCGTGCGATATCCGCCGACGCCTCAACGATGGCGGTCAACTCCGTCCGTATCGCCGCCGCTCAGATGACATCTATTAACGATCTTGCTACCAATTACGCCACATGCTCTCGTCTTGTCAAGGTGCGTCTTTTCTCTCATATTGTCAGGTGAAGCATTTACAAACATGTGTTCTTGATTATATGATTCATAATGATCATTAGAATTATCGTTTAAATTATCAATTACTTGTTTTTTGCAACTTCCAAAACCACTGCAATTGAACATTTTGATGTTATTGAACTAATAAAAGGTGGGTATTTGTTAGGGCTTGTTTATTTGAAGTCCATTGTAGTTTATGACTGATTGATGATGTTAATTTTTTTTTCCCGAATGTCCATAAAGTAGCAAAATGAACTCAAAAAGCCTTCCTTGGTACCGGGAAAATAAAGATGAAGGCATTAAACTTTATCATATAAAGTTATATTTCATTGTGAAATTTGAAAATTAAGGCATTTGGATTTTGAATGTAAAAAGTAGTCAGTTTGACCCTGTTAACCAATGTCGTTGGGAATAACAATAGCACACTCTGAATGCTCGAAGTTTCATTCCTGAAGCCTGTTTTCGAGATTTTGTTTGTGTTTTAGCAAAAGTAAGTCTTTGGTGCTGTGGCTATTGGTTGAAAGGACTGAATTAATGCAAATGATTTTTGAATAGGTGTTCTGATATGGAACTTGATTTGGACCCTACACTGGGTCACAACGTTATAGATCCAACTTTTGTTAGAAAACAGTCATGACAGCAGTTAGGATGATAGTGTTATGAATCATCATATCAACTTTACTTGTACCAGGCGAAAGAAAAAGAAATCTGTCCAGGAGGGGACCACAAGCAAAGGGGAAAGATTCTGCAGTTAGGAAATTGTTAGAAAAAGGGTAACTCGGGATTTTTTGCCAAAAGAAGTTGTTAAGGGTCCAAGGATAAATAGTGGTGAGTAAAAGAAAAGGGGCAAGCAGAATTCTTTTCCCAGTTGTTCTTGGAGAGAAAAGCCTCTCGAAAAGCCTACATTTGGTATTTAAGTCATTCAACTTCCTTTTCCCTCATATTGAATCATTGAGAATTGGTACAAGAGCTCGAAATACCAATCAAGTTTATTGACCTTTTAGCTCCTCTGAATAATCTTTTGTAGTTTTAGCTCCTCTGAATAATCTTTCCTAATGAGATAGCAGTGGGTCATTTCGTAAATGAAATACAGGCCAAGGATTTGTCTGCAAGGGTGGAAGAGAAGCTGAAGTCAGGCTAAACCGGAAATCTGAGGTATGTACTCATAATTACTCCTATGGACTGGGAAATCAAAACACCAAATTCAACCCCTACTTTCCTTAGTCAAACCAAGGGCGATAGACCTATCCCTTCCTGTCACCAATGATCCCGGTGACTTGAACTACTCCCACCATGTGAGACCTTCGGGGATAATCAAAGAGCCCTAGTTTGCCATTTGGGGAGGTTCGACACCTCTTGGACAAAGAGTATGGAGAAGGTTGCAATGGAAATCGAAGAACAAATCAAACAAGGCAAACAAAAAGGAACACAAATGCCATGTGGCTTAACCCGCGTCCAACCGGCCTAGCTCTCTGGTCGATTCCCTCTCGGGCGAGTAGCATGCGGTTAAACCCGCGGTCACCTAAGCTACTGTTTGGCTGCCCGCCTATCTCTATTCCGTGGCTATCATGCAGCCTCACCCGCACCCATTCTTGATTTCCAGCAGCTATTTACCCTCATTCTTATTTTTATCTTTTAGTTTCCTAGTTTACTTACAATTGTTTTAGCCTTTATCATTCATATTTATCCTTCTCCTAGAGTAAACTATAAAGAAGATTGTTTCGTTCATCATTAATTAGATTATTGATGATAAAAGTTCTCTTTTGAGAGTTCTATGAGTTTCTTGAGTTTTACTATTTGTAATCATCAAAATGTCAAGGTTTTAGATGCTTGTTGATCCTTCCGCAAACTTACTCTGCATCAGTTGGTATCAGAGCAGGATTCGCCTGTTCTTTTCACTAACAATGGCAGATCAGTATCCCGTTACCAAAGCATATTTCCCCGAGATGATTGCGGCTATTATCACATCTATAGACAATCTGACAACGATTGTCCATCAATACTTCACCCGAACTGACAACGGCCCTCGCCAGAGAAGGGAAAGACGTGAAGAACCAAGTAGGGTTCCGCTCGGCGGTAACCGTAACCGGATCAACCTGTCAAGGTCCGAATCTGAAGAGGAGGTGAGAGCTGAACTGATAAACCCGAGAAGGAACGACCACGACTACCGAATGAAGGCGGACATCCCCTTTTTCTATGGAACAATGGGAGTAGAAGAATTTATAGACTGGCAGATCTAAGTCGATCGATTCTTCGAAGTTATGGAAGTTCCTGAGCATAAGGAGATAAAGATGGTTGTTTTTCGCCTCAAAAGCACCGCCTCCGTTTGGTGGGGCAAACTCGTCCTTCAACGATAGCGACAACGAAAAGGACCAGTGCAATCATGGAGAAGAATGAAGCAACTCATATTAGAGCGTTTTCTACCGAAGATTATGAGCAGATCTTATACAAGATGTATCTGGAATGCAACTAAGATACTAGGTCTGTAATTGATTATACCACCAAGTTCCTACGCCTATTCGAACACAATGAAACCAGAGAGTCGGAAGGTCAAAGGGTTGCTCGTTATATCAACGATTTAAAGCTAGCTATCCAGGACAAAATCGGGCTCCCAACCGTGTGAATCGTCACTGAAGCTTCGAGCTTGGCACTAAAATTAGAACTAATGGAAAAGTTTGCATGCACCTCATCCTATTGCCGATATCAGGTAACAACCGAAACTCCAACTCCTAATAAATGAAAAGGAGTTACAGCTTCCCTAGACACCAACAACTTTTCCGAACCAACACCGGTGGTTCTAGTAGCGGACTACAAGAGAAGACGACTCCTCCAAAGACCCTAATTCGTACGCCAAACCAATGGGTCTCAAGTGTTACCGATGCGGACAACCAAGTCATAGATCCAACGAATGTACTAACTGGGGGACGGTCAGGTTAGTAGAAGGCGAAAAAAGCGGTGAGGATGACGACTATGATGGTGTGGAGTTTGCCCGAAGAGGATTTCCAAGAGAAAATCAATATCGTGCTCCAACGGGTACTCCTTTCATCCAAAGAAGACGGACAAAGGAAGAACCTATTGCGGTCTCATTGCTCAGTCTCTAAAAAGGTATGTAACCTCATTGTTGATATCGGAAGTTGTAAAAACCTTGTATCACGAAAGTTAGTCGATCAAAGAGGTGTTATGTCTATATGGGGTCCCCAAATCAATCACCTACGATCGAGACACTAAATTCGTGAGCCATTTTTGGATTACACTTTGGCGGATGTTCGGGACAACTCTCAAGAAAAGTAGCACCACTTACCCCCAAACCGACGGCCAAACGGAAGTGACTAACTGCACTTTGGAAAACATGCTCCGAAGCATATTTGGTGACAAGCCATAATAATAGGACATGGCCTTACCCCAAATTGAGTTTGCTTACAATAGTGCAGTTCACACCGCCACTCGTCACTCTCCTTTCTCTTTAGTCTACGCTTCATCTTCGAGACACGTGGTTGACTTGGTCAAGATACCTCAAGATCCCAAAGTTAGCATAGCAGCGGGGAACATGGCTAAAGAAGTTCTGCAACAAAAGAAGCTGCCAAAGCTCAACTCGAGGCAACCGACTTGAAGAATAAAGCAGCGACTGAAAAACACCGACGAAAGAAGGTTTTCCACGAGGGAGACGAAATAATGGTATTCCTTCGGAAGGAATGATCTCTTATTGGTACTTATTGGAAGCTTCAACCAAGGAAATACGACTGTTCAATTGCAAAAAAGATTAACAACAATGTTTACGTCGTTACCCTTCCCGATTCATGGCACATCTCAAACACCTTCAATGTCGCCGACATTTACGAGTACCATAAGGATGATGCGTTTTTATTTAAAGAGAACTCTGGGTCGAGTTCTTCTGAAGTGGAGGAGACTGATATAAAGAAGGTTGCAACGGAAATTGAAGAACAAATCGAACAAGGCAAACAGTAACGAACGCGATTGCTTTGTGGCTCAACCTGTGCGCAACCCGCCTAGCTTTCTCGAGTCCTGCTGGGGCTAGTAGCATGCGGCTAAACCCGCATAGGGGTTGCCTAAGCTACTGTTTGGCTTCCCACCTATCTCTGCGACCTCACCCGCACCTAGGCCAAGCCGATCTAAGATTTCCAACAACTATTTCTCTCATTCTTATTTTTATCTTTTAATTTTCTTGTTTAGTTACACTTGTTTTAGCCTTGATCTTTTATAGTTATCTTTCTCCTAGATTAAACTATAAATAAAGTTGTTTTCTTCATTATTAATCAGATTATTGATGATAAAAATTCTCTTCTGAGAATTCTGAGTTTCTTGAGTTTTACTATTCGTAATCTCAAACGTGAAAGGGTTTAGATGCTTGTCGATCCTTCCTCAAACCTACACTACGTCAAAGAGCTTCAACAAAAGTGAGAGAGAGGACTTTGTTTTTGGTGCGATGAAAAATGGAACGTGGGGCATCGATGTCACTGTAGGGACCGAGTGCATTGCTGTCTTGAGAAGAGGATGAGACATAAGAGAGTGATGAAAGAATCGTTGAAGTAAGCAAAGAAGGGACCGTAATCAGAATGAGTTTTAAGTTGGTATTATGGGTAACCAATCCAAAGACACCGTAACTACTATGGTACTTACTGGGCTTCAAGGTAGTGCTCATGGTCAACCCCAACAACCAACTATTTCATTTTGTTGGCTGTGTTCACAAAATGGGAATTCCAAAGACTCAAGTGGATTTGGGGTTTCATCAGGTTATGGAGAGGCTATGCATGGTTACTTGGTTAGGGTGCATTTTTGTACTTCCTAGGAATTGAGGTAATTGAAAATTTCTTTCCTCTTTACTTAAGTAAATTTTGACCTCAATTTGGTCATCCGGTGGTTAGAAAAATTGGGTGCAGTGACTGTAAATTGGTGGACGTAAGTGATGAATTCCTTGTGAATGGTAACCGTTACTCTTCGAGAGGATCTCTCTTTGGATCGGT